AAAACTGCCGTTGCGAAACTGTCGGTTGAAGAAACGCTACAGTCTCAAGCCACTACAAGTGGGAATGAACTTGACACCTAACTACTCACATAAAAAACGAAGACTGCTTCAATCCTTTTGTTATATTCGAATATCCACATGCATTTTTCTATCCCTTTCGGTAATGGACTGAAACTTTTCTAACTCCCGCCGAATTTTGTTATACTCAACCTATTGCACGCCCTTGCGCTGCGTCTTGGCTTTTTTGCTGGGGCGTTTTATTGTGGACTTTGCTTCATTGAAATATGCTCGAGAATCCTGAAGATTGCAAAAGCAATGTGAAGGACGATCTCAAAGGAAGTGACTCTATTATCAAAAATACGGAAAATGGTGAAAAAACGGAAGGCGAACTCATGGAAGATGCTCCGTACACCATTAAAGTTATACCATCACACGCAGAACCCTTCGAGCTGCAAGTCAGTTAATGTTTTACCTATCATGTAATGTTCCTTAGGTTAGCTCTTTTGAACTCGTCCAAGAGATACACAGAGTTTTAATGGATCGTGAGGAGACATGTAGCTGCACTTGTTTTTCTCTAACGCTGAATGGTCAAACCCTGGATATGTTCGCAGAGTTAAAGGCCGTGGAGGGCCTGTCAGATGGGGCCGAGATTCGTGTGGTCGAGGAGCGTTATAGTGTCCGTGAAGCAAAAAATCATGTCAAACATGTTCACGATCTCCTGTATTCCATCGAACCATACGATGCATATGCAGGGAGGGAACAGATGTCTCTTTGCTTCGTAAACGTCATCACTGGGGATTTGGGTAAGTCTTTGGTCAGTAATCGATACCTAAAATGTCAAGTAACTATCGTGCCCATCACTGGATAAATCACATTTTAGTTACGTATGTTTGTCCCCGTGACCGTGATCTGAACTGTTTACCGGCTTAATTTCTCATTAGTTTCATACATCCAGTTCCCTTTAAGAATTTCTTGAGAACTGGGTTAAGCATCATCCCAGCTGTACTGGTTGAGCTTAAATGTTTCGCACTCTCTTCAGATGTGTACACACATTCGTGGGAAAGTTCCATCAGGATACCGACAAATCTTTAAACATCAAAAACACGACCAGGCAAAATCAATGCTAAGGTCCAAAGTCACCAGTCATTCGAGTTGAACAGAAGAAAAGGGTAGGAGAACATGCTTATCGGTCGGAACGACGGTAGCAGCCCTGCCATTACAGAGTAAAGCTGGCCACAAAGCCTAGGTGTTTGCAGAGGTCTGATTTGTGACGCCGAAAGACTACGGCCTCCGTAAACCGTGACAACCGCCCAATTTCCTGTTGGCGTAACACCTGGAATACTTGATTTGGATCGATCTCACTAGTTACCGTCTATCCGCTCTTTAGTCCTAAAAATCTGTAAATGTACAGTGGGTATGGCTGTTTTATCTGACCGTTACTTCTGGAACAAGGTTTGTTTTTAAATGTTTCACCCAGAGGTGGATAATATTTTCAAAGTATCGCCCCACGGCTCGTTGTCACTTACAGTTCATAACTTGGTTGGTTGTTACAAAGATTCCGATTATATCTCACATGTTTGTTAAAAATAGCTAGTCTTCGAACGTTGCTTCGGAATGTATCTCTCCCCCTGTTCAGCTACACTGGTTTGCTCCTTCCGTCAGTGGTCAGCGCATCAGTCCTAATGAAGATTAAAAACGCCCGGGTTTTGTTGGTTCACTTCGAGGACACGATTGGTCATAGTGTTATTCGACACCTTTACGGTTCCCGGTGACCACTGCCGCTACTCAATTGTATATGGTTCATCCTAGTTTGGAATGATCATTTATCCGACTTCCCTATTCAAACTATCAATGGTTCGCCGACTTGGTTATAGCCCCAGGTGTTAGTTTTCCTTGATGGAGGAAACAGTGAGTAGGGCTTCCTCAGCAAAGACTCTTAGGCGTTTGATCGTGCAGCAGTATTTCGCGAGGTTTAAGGGAAAAGTAACCAGCCACCACCCAATAGCCACCCCGATCATGTTGAAGCTTTCTGAAACATTTATCACCACATGCATTAAAAAGCTGCCGTGTTGACCATATGTTGATTTCCTTTCCCCGGAATGGATTCATTGCCTATCCGCCTTACACATACATTCTTTGGGTACAGTGGCGATTGAAAGTGGTTAATAAAGTCAACTTCGCTGTACGTGAATGATGATGCTTTTCCAGGAGCAGGATCGATATGTTGTTTCAATGGGTGCCTTCACGTAGTTTGTCTCTGCTTAAGTCTGGCACATTAAGAAGATCCCATCGTGGGGGAGGTGGGTGGAGTCGATTGTCGCCCCATCTTTAAAAAGTCACTTTATTACACACCTAAGTTTGATGAACAGCAGACGGTCGAACCCCACCAACTATCGAACCCGCCACAGTCCTGAAACAGC